TAACCCTCATCCCCAAACCAGGCAGGGACTCATCAAAGACTTATTTCTTTGATGAACATTGATGCAAAACTTCTAAACAAAATCTTGCCCAATCGACTTCAACTCCTCATAAAAAAAAAAAATCATACACCAAGCTGGGCACCGGTGGCTCACACCTGTAATCCTAGCTACTCAGGAGGCTGAGATCTGAGGATCTCGGTTCAAAGCCAGCCTGGGCAGGAAACTCCGTGAACTCTTATCTTCAATAAACCACCAGGAAACTGGAAGTGGCGCTGTAGCTCAAGTGATAGAGCGCTAGCTTTGAGCTGAGGGACAGTGCTCAGGCCCAGAGTTCAAGCCCCATGACTGGCAAAAAAAAAAAAAAAATGTAGTAAAGGTTATTAAAATTTAATAGATGAGCTATTGTAACTATGTAGAGGTAATATATAACTTGACTGTACTCCAGTAATTTTCAGCTCTTATGTATTCCATCTATGCTATATTTACTTACACGTGCAACTACGATCATTATTCCAAATGTAAGAGATTTGATTATCAAAGATAGAACTATGATTTCTTTAAAATTTCACCTCCCCACCCCTTGTCTTTCTCTCTTTGAACAAGCTTAGCTATGTAAACTAATCACATTTCATTTGGTGTGTGATGAATGAATTACAGATAAACCACAAGATAGTTATCTGTGTAACCCCTGGAGTGGCTTGGAGAAAACTGGAGTGGTTGTTAATTCTAAGTAAGGTACTCCAGACCAGAAATGGTGTAATTTAGTGATTCTCAGAAAGCAGTTTATAAATTGAGATGACACATCCTATTATGGCCCTGTGATTCCACTGAGTAGCAAGCAAAATAAAGGATTTGTTAAGCAAAACCAAGGATTCTTCTACTACAAAGGCATCACTTTCAGAAGCCAGGTGTGGTGCATATGGCTGCTTATTATGAACAATGAGTTTTAGAGATACTAGAATAGAACATTTTCCAAATACCCCAGCAACAGAACTTGTACCCAAGCTCATGTGTGGCCAGGAAAGTGGGGAAGCCTGATAGAATCTCCAACATGGAGATTCAGTCTCAACATCTCTTTTCATATACATTAAAATTTTCCCTTATCTGTCTGATATGCACTTCTACTTATATCTGAGTTAGATGCAAAATTACTGCTCTAATAACTGTTAAATTCTCCAAGTTAGAGATTTGTTATTATTCTGTAATATGAACTTGATATAAAGAGTTAGAGCAAATTCTAGATAAATTTACATATCACAAGAGATTTTCACATTGCATTTGCTGATTATAAAAAAGAAGAGCTATGAGACATAAAATTGTTTATAAATTTTGAAATATAGCAAAACTGTTTTACATTTTTATTAAGTACTTGTATGACTCAAATTTTTAGTAATAGTGAATACAAGAGTTGAAATATCACCATTAAATTGTCCTATTGAGCAGGTACTATATGCAGTAATTTTAATGATGAAACTCAACATTATAACATGTTATGTTTACAGAAAAAAACCTTAGTTTCCATCAAATTTTTGAAAAGATTTTGCTTGGAAGCCTACACAAATCCAGTATTTCATATTATCCTTAATATATTCATTTTATTTTTCATTAAAAGTATGTGATATAAAGAAACCATTTTTTTCCCATCAAACCCCATGTAGTTGTTTCAAAATACTTGTTAAGTAATCCCAATGTGCTGTACAAATATTATTTCTAGGGATGTCATGATGTCAAAAAGGATTGAGAAACAGTTTTAACTTTTAGATCAGGATTCTTAACCTAAGGTCCCTTGATTGATTTTAGTGGTTATGTGAAATATGCAAGTGCATCTTTCTGAGGAAAGGGTCAATAGCTTTCATCAGGTTCTCAGAGTTTAAGAAGCAGCTGATCTTAGGAGTTTCAAGTTCTTGTATAATTTGAAAACTAAAGAATTAATAGCACAAGTTAAGGGTTAAATGGGCTCCAGTGGTACAATCAGGCCTCCGGTATCATACATAGGTGGGAAGAGTGAGGGTGCTATAAATAGGGCTAGAACTTTTGTCTTTTTGGCTCTATTGAAAATCCTGCTTTGGGATTTTTTTACTCCAGTTAAACTGGCATAGTAAAAAGATCCCAGTAAAAAGATCTCTTTTAGTAGATAGGTCTTCTCAGATCACCAGAAGACCAAGCAGAAATTAGGATAGAACCTAGGGAAAAGTAGTTATGAATGGGGCAGAAAGATTAGATTTCAAATTTTAAACATGATCCAACCCAGTTCAAAAAGTAGCTATACTAAGATCAGTAGCTAAGTAATTTTTAAGTACATTTTCTCAACCTGTCTTCTCTGTTTCTATAAACTTTTGTACAACTCTAGATGTCTCCTATCAATATATTTCCTTTAGGGCCTTAAAGAAATGACCTTAAGCCACTAAACTGGACTGTAATCATATGTTGATGTGTTTTTCCCTACCTATGAATCCTTCAGAAGTTGAAAAACATTTTTTAAACACTATGTAGTAGGTAACATATACTTAAATATTTTCTCAATTGATAATAATAAACACATACCAACAAGTTGCAAATATAGTGTCATTAAATGGCAGGAAAAGATATTTTCCATGTAAATTAATGTTAACTTCCTGATGCAAACAAAATTGTGAATTTGTGTACCTTATATTCAATTTTAACTAAGAATTCATCATCGGGCTGGGAAGGTGGCTCAGTGGTACAGTGCTTGCCTTGCATGCATGAGGACCCTGGGTTTGATTCCTCAGCACCACATAAGCAGAAAAAGCCGCATGTGGCACTGTGGCTTAAGTGGTAGAGCACTAGCCTTGAGCTGAAGAGCTGAGGGACAGCGCCCAGGCTCAAGAGTTCAGGCCCACGACCGGAAAAAAAAAACCAAAAAAGAATTCATCATGTTAGATATACTGAATACTTAGCTACAGATGTGTCTTAATCATTAATCCATGCCTAGGGCTAAGCAGAAGTATGGATTATGTTTTTTTTTAATTCTTTTTATCCTCTTTTGCTTGAAGCTATTTTCTGCACCTAGGTTATACTAAACAAAAGATAGTTGCGCTTGGAACAAATAAACAGAATAGACAGTTACCTTAATTTTATGTTTTTTAAATCAGTTTATAAATAACCATACATTATCTCATTTGATCACAAGTATCCTGTGAGTTAGGGTTCCTTTGTAGAGAAGGAACTAAAGCTCAAAAGTTCAAGCCATTTACATAAGGTTTTACAGAGCCGGAACTAGAAACCAAATCTCCTGACTCTTTATAGTGTTTCTTCCTGTAAGGTAGGATGAGTTTCTTAAGAGTATGTTACTACATATAAGTAGAAGTGTTGCTATCCTTGCATAAATCAGCAAGGCAACCAACATCCTATAGCCACATGATTTACATAATACTTTTTCTTTTGTTTATAAACACATATTTCATACTATGTATATTGCTTCGCTCTGTGTCTAGTTTCCTGTTTGGTTTCTTAAGCACTGGTTCAAAGTTCTTACTTCTGAACCTTGCCTTCTCTTTTCCTGTTTACTGGGCAGCTCTGGGAAAAACACAGTCAGACTGTTTAATCTGTGAACCATACATCTTTGTTTAATTTTGTCTCACAGGCACTCTTGATCACCACCAGGGGGCAAAAGCCTACCAGCTGGCTTCACTGCAATACATTGTATAGGACTGTACAGTATAGGGACCCTCAGTGCTTGATTCTTGAGGGAACCTCCCTACTAATTATTTCAACCACAGGGCCCCAGGGAGAGAACAAAGGCTCAGTACAGAGGGCTCTTGTGACGCTTAACCATACAGCAACCAGAGAGAGCTCATGACAGTCCTGTCAGTTTAAAAGGAGCGATGAGATCCGAGTGTTTGATAAACAGGAGAAGGTGGACTTTAATGACTGCGAACTCGAGTGTGTTTTCTACAGCTTTGATATACAGGATGGTGTTTACCAGCTCATCCACTCAAATGCAGAAATACATTTGCCAACTCCGTCTGTGTGTAAATAATCATCCTGCTGTTAGCACTGTGATTCCCCACCCCCTTCTGAATCTTGATTTTCCATTACATTCGTGGCTTGTGTTCTGTTAACGGTTTACCTTTTTAGAAAAAAAAAAAAAAATGATTCCCCTAAAATATTTTGTACCTTACATTTCTCCCTGATGTCTATGAAATAATCTAGAGACGAAGAAAGGCTCAACCAGCCGAAGCTGTTTTAATTAGTAGAATTTCTTTACAGCAGGAAGCAAATGCGAGGTAAATAGCAGGTTGGACCTTTACAACTGGGAAGCCCGGCTCTCTGGGCCTCCGAGGCTCATAGCCTTGACTCCACCTCAGACATAATGACTGACTACGGTAAGGTAGTAAAGGAAGCACGAAGGTACCACGAAATCCCGGGGTCTACAAGGAAGGGTGGGGAGAGGATGGTGGGAAAACCCAGAAAATCCCACCCCGACCGCCCCCCCCCCCCCGCTCCCGGGACTGTGTCCAACGAGATAAGGGTCCTCGGGATCCAGCACCCCCGCCCACCCCCACCCCGCGCGTCCCCTCCACGCCCAGCCAAGGCGTCTGCAACCCCACGGAACCCTTTCCCACCCGAAGACGTGTTTACCTCCGGATTTTCACCTCACTTGGCTTTCCTCTAAGGTTGGTTTAGCGGGGCGCCCCACCTCATAAAATGGTTGTCTCTCAGGAAGGAGGGTTCCGGAGGCCCCCCGCCCTGGGAACTCAACCTCTCACCCCCCCCCCCACCACTCCCGCCCCTTACTTCTCTCCCCCACCCCCTCAATCAACCGATTCCCAGCTCCCTTCCCACCCCACTCCACCGACATCACCACAACCCCCAAGGCTCAAGAGGAAACCCGGAGGGGGCGGCGGCCCCGGGCGCACGCACGCGGCCGACTTCCGGCAACTCAAGGGTTACGCCGCGGCGGCGGCGCGCGCTGAGGGGAGAGGCGGTTGCTGACAGGTGGCGCCTGCGCACTGGGAGCACTCATTGTGCCCCGCAGCTGCCGAACCGCCCGCCCGCCGCCCCGTTCGGCGCTCGTCAGTCGGCTAGAGTCCGGTGTTGGGTGCGGAGCCTGAAGTCATTCCCGCGGCCTTCTTTTCCTCCCCTTTTCCTTCACCCTCTCCATCCCACATCCGTCTCTCTCATTCCGGCTCCGTCAACCCTTCTGTCCCCCACACGCAGGACAAGAATGCCCTGCCCGGAACAACCCAGCAGCACCTAGATGGCTTTGGTCACGGTCCAGCGGTCGCCGACCCCCAGCACCACCTCCAGCCCCTGCGCCTCGGTGAGTCCCCTCCCCAGCCGTCGCTCCGCTCGGCTTCTGTCACTGCGGCTCCGCTTTGCCTCAGCGGGTCCCGCCGAACGCCACTGCGCACGCGCCGCGCCGTTCCCAGGCCTTGGCACTCGGTTGCCGCGAACCTTCCCCCCCCTCACACACAAACACACACAGACACACAGACACAGACACACACGTCTGGAAGGCGAGCAGCAGGAACTACGGGACGTGGATTTCTGTCCCCATCATCCTGAGCACTCAGCTCACCGCGCTCGCCCTGTAATCTCCCTGGCATGCCTTCCTATGGCTTAAGTACTTCCTTTCGGGGAATGAGTCATTCTTGCTTTTCACCCTCCTCTCCCCCCCCCCCCCCACTTCTTTTACCCGCTGTTGCTCCGCTGCGGGAAGGGGACTCGGGGACTCTACACCCCCATTCCCTCACCCCCACCATTTCAGGGAACCGTTCAGCATTTGCACACTGCACACCCTTCTGCAGACTCGCCTGGGTGTGTGCCGTCCTCCCCCCCCCCCCCCCCTCCAGTCACTTGCCATCTTTCTTGTGCTGTGGACTGTTAAGGCTTCATTGGGCTGCTGAACGGTTGTTACACCCTTGCTTTTTTTTTTTTTTTAACTCTTCCTGCACCCCTCCCCCTGATGACTGTGGTGGTTCCTGCTTCTGAGGCTCTTTACCTTCCCTCAAAAAAAAAAATAAGAAAGCATCTATCTGGTGCTCTCGATGACCACTGCCAATTAATTTCCATCTTACAGACCTTATACTCATTGCATATGATCATTCTTTTCCTTGGGTTGTATTTGAATGGCGCGTTACTTCAGATGCCTATGCCAATAATAAAGCATGCATCCAGAAGGAAAATACCCTGAACCAGCCTTTTCCTGCTGGGCCCGCCTTTGCCTTCCCTCTTCGCCCCACCCCCATTCCTTTACAATTCCATTCTCAGGCTTCATTTTTGAAAATAGCTATTTAAAATGTTATCCCTGGGGGTTGGGGTGGTGGGGGTGTGTGGGCAAAGTGGGCTTTAAAAACAAACAGCATCCAGACATTTTAGAAAGCAACGGAATGGAAATATGAACAGTTGGAAAAACTACCTTGAACTTCCTACAGAACAAAAATTGTTGTTGGATTTAGTGTTGTCAAGTTGCAAAGAGATTTGCAGTAAACAGTGATCCATCTTCCACTGTATAAGTTGGGTTACTCATTTATTTGCTAACCTAGGTAAGAGGTTTGATAACTTGAAAGTATGCTACTTTGGGATTCCACTAGCTTTCTGAATTTCAAAAATTTGTTGTGAATAGTGGTGGGTTTTCCCCCCTGATTTCCTTTTTCCTGCATTTTATGTGACCAAATTATAAAAATTGTATCTTAATTCATACAGTGATTGCATTTCAGAGTTTCACTTATCTTGTGTTGTTTTAGAGTGTAGCTCTCAAGTCCTTGGGTAGAAGTTCAGAGAGAGAGATTTCCAGTGGCTATAAGGAAAAAATGATTTATTTATTTATTTATTTGGGTCCGGTCATGGGGCCTGAACTCTGAGCCTGGGCGCTGTCCCTCAGCTCTTCAGCCCAAGGCTAGTGCTCTACCACTTGAGCCACAGAGCCACTTCCGGCTTTTTTCTTTTTTCTTATGTGGTGCTGAGGAATCAAACCCAGGGTCTCAGGCATGCAAGGCAAGCCCTCTACCACTGAGCCAATTTTTTAAATCAATAGAGTATACACTGCATTAGTGCCCATTGCTGGAAGTATTTAAGCAAAGGTTGGAGGACCTTTTGCCTAGGAGGTTGCTATAATAGGAGACTTCTAATTCCCTTCTTTTTTTTTTTTTCTTTTTTCTTCTTGCTTATGTGGTGCTGAGGAATGGAACCCAGGGCCTCATGCATGCAAGGCAAGCACTCTACCACTGAGCCACCTTCCCAGCCCCTCTAATTCCCTTCTAAGTCTTTAAGAGTCTATGATTTAAGAATAATTGTACTTCTAAACATTTTAAGATTCTCTTAAGAAAAGTATCATAGGGAAAGAAATTTAATGTAATTTATTTTTATGTGTGGTACTTTATAGGAGACTTTTAGAAAGTCATTAACATACCATCAGAATACATCTGAGTTCACTCTGCTAATAAACTCTGGTTTTTGGCTACTAAGATTGATTTTTGGCTGAGAAAGTAATGGAGCATTAGTAGATATATTGACATAAATTAGAAACCAGTAATATAATTTTCCCTAGGCATTGTAAAATGCTATAACAATATGCTTATTGCTACCATTCATATTTTCTTTAACTAAATAATTGCTAGTTAGCCATATCTACTTGATGTGACTTCATTAGCCAAAACTTGGGTTACTTTAGAATCTTGTAGTAGGTTAATAATCACTTTTAACATAGGCAATTAAGGAGATCATGGCAGACTCAGTTGTTAAGTTTAAATGACTGCTATTTCTATATCTACTAGCCTAATTTTTGAGTTGTTTTTACTTGGCATTGGAATATTGGTACGTGTGTGTGTGTGTGTGTGTGTGTGTGTGTAAAACAGCATTATTAGTAGGACTAATAAACCAGTTATCTTTCCCTTTAAATTGTCTTCCTATTTGACTTAAGTGCTCAGCTGAGTTGTCTTAGGTCTTTGTGCTCCAATATTTGGCTGCTGTCTGTTCTGCATTTATTCTAGTGTTGTATCTTTTGCTGCATGAACAGGTTGGGTTGTTTGTTTTAAGAAGCAGAGTGCAAAAGGAATCTAGAGAGTCATATGAGAGGTTTGATTTTGTGAGGCTGGAATTTTTTTAAATTGTATTGTAAAGGTGATGTACAGAGAGTTTACAGTTACATAAGTCAGGGAAGCTGGAAATTTAACTTTTAAATTAATCACTCTAAGCATTGGGACAGTTTAATACTGTTAGCTCTTCATTATTAGTGCAAATGACTGTTGTAAATATTGAAGTCTGTATGACATTTACCTGTCAGGATGGAAGTTATCTGGGTGCCAGGTACAGCAGATAAAAACACTTGAGGTGGAAAGGTACAAAATGCGAGTGAGGGGAATCGTACACTATGTACATGAAAACCAGTTTGTAATGGTCATAAGCATTTTCTGAAGTTAGATTATTATAAAACATCAATAGTGGTGGTAATAATAAAAATAACACTGCCTAATATATCTTAGATCTTCATCTATGCCAATGCTTTATATCATGCTTAGTGCTTTACATTCAAGGATTAACTTACTATACCCTTAAAAGAAGTTGCTCTTATCTTCATTATAATGAAGAAACTGAGGCAAGGAGAGTCGAAGGAATATGCTCTGTGATATCATTGGGCCTAGCAAATGATTAGAGTTGTAATTCAAGCTCAGATGCATCTAACCTTAGGATTTTTCTTTTTTTCCCCCCCTCTTTTGTGATCAAGGAAACTTATAGGTGGTTCTCAAACTAGTTCTTGTAGGATGAGTAGAATTTCTGTATGCCAAGATGGGAGTTAGGAAGAAGAGAATGTATGCAAAAAGATTTAGAGACAGAAAGCTTAAGGTGTAACTAAAGGAATTAGACTATTTTAAGGAAGGATTTGTTTGGAAGAATAGAGATAAATAAAGTGAGATGGCAGCCAGGACTACACAGAAACTACTGAGTTTAGATGTTTGAACTTGATAAAGAGGTAATGGAGCGGTTTTGAGCAGATATGATCACAGTGTGTTTTAAGAAAGTTGATCTAGGAGGTACAGAAAAAATATGTTCAGCTATTTCTTCAGCCTCTGATTTCATTTCCTTTGAATACATACCCAATAGTGAGATCACTGGATCATATGACAGTTTAGTTTTCAGATTTTTTGCTTTTTAGTGGTACTGGGATTTGAACTCAGGACCTGTGCTTGCTAGGTAAATTCTATACCACTTGAGTAATACCCCCAGCTATTGTTTGTAGTTTTTGGAAGAACCTCTATGCTGTTTTCTATCTTGCCTTTACCATTTTATATTCCTTCCAACAGTATATGAGAATTTGTTTTTCTTTGCATCCATAACACAAAACTTTGCCATGTATTGATTAAAATTGTATGAATTTAGCTGGGTGCTGGTGGCTCATGCCTGTAATCCTAGCTACTGAGGAGGCTGAGATTTGAGGATTGATATTCCAAGCCAGCCCGGGCATCAAAGTCCAAGAGACTCTTTTTTTTTTTTAAGGTCCGGTTGTGGGGCCTGAACTCTGGGCCTGGGCGCTGTCCCTCAGCTTCTTCAGCTCAAGGCTATCGCTCTACCACTTGAGCCACAGTGCCACTTCCGGCTTTTTTCTGTTTGCTTATGTGGTGCTGAGGAATCGAACCCAGGGCCTCATGCATGCAAGGCAAGTGCTCTACCACTGAGCTACCTTCCCAGCCCGTCCAAGAGACTCTTATCTCCAATAAACTACTCAGAAAAAGCTGGAAGTAGTCTGTGTCAAGTGGTAGAGCATATCCTTGAGCACAAAAACTCAGAGACAGTGCCCATGCCCTGAGTTCAAGCCCCAGGGTGGCACATATATATTTTTTTGACTGCCAATTGAATAAAGGAACAAGATTTGAAATGCAATCAAAAGTGTATATTCTCTTTGGAGTTCACTTATGTTGCAAAATTGACAACTTAGAAGAGAATCATCTTTGTCTATAACAAATCATTTTAGGTGATACTCTTATTAAAACTAACTTAATTTACATAAAATGCTTACATTTTGAGTATTTAATTTCCTTACTCTTAGAATAGCAAAGTAGGAATGTAAAACAGGCATCTATAACACTGGAAAATGGTAGTTAATGTTTTCACAACAAGGGAAAGAGGAGCTGGGAATGTGGCTTAGAGGTAGAGTGCTTGCCTCGCATGCATGAAGCCCTGGATTCAATACCCCAGTGCCACATAAACAGAAAAAGCCAGAACTGGGGCTGTGGCTCAAGTGGTAGAGTGCTAGCCTTGAGCAAAAGCAGCTCAGGGACAGTGCCCAGGACCTGAGTTCAAGCCCAGGAATGGTAAAAAAAA